CTCCCTCTCTCTCTCCCTCTCTCTCCCTCTCTCCCTCTCTCTCCCTCTCTCGCTCTCGCTCTCGCCTTCTCTCTCGCTCTCTCGCTTTTTCTCGTGCCGGATGATGCGAGCATCTTGAAGTCGAGTTGTTCACCTGCACAGGCTACTGCAGCTTTTATCTGCTCCTCGTCTGCTCATCTTTGGCATGAGATTATGCTTCTTCGTTCAAAGACACCAATTGTGTCACAACCGTCTGTCCGGCGTGCCCGCATCAGGAAGCCGACGACACCAACGACGACCTGGGCTTAGTGGGGAAAGCACTGCTTTGCGCTTTCGGTGCCAGGGATGAGGGCAGAGCACTATGGCTCTGAAAGACAACATCCTCATTCCACGCAGTTGATGTATGAAACTGTGATGAAGCAACAGGCCGTACTTGTGCTTGTCATCATGTGCTATGGAAGACACTTCTTGTCATACCATGCCACGCGCCGTGGTTGATGAGTACTGGTCAAAGCCGATCATGTAAAAATTCCTTTTTCGCTACATGTGGCTGTTGTTTTGCTGCCTGCTGCTCAACCGTAGTAGATATTGTCTGAAGAGTAACATCAACCTTATGCTGCGCAGTGCCACGCTGTGCTGTGCGATGCTTTGCAATGACATCTTCATGGTGGTTTGTTAGGTCGGTTTGCTGTCGCAGTATGAGACTGTGGACTTTGACCAGAGAGCGATCGAGATACTTGCTAAATGTTATCATACTCAGTACATCTATGCAAGAAATGGCAGGCATCGCCAGCAACAGGTTAAAAGCGTACTTACACTAGAATACTTAGAAGCGAGAACATGCAATCTTCGTATGCGTGTTTACAAATGCCTAGTGTGTGATTGTGTCTTCTGTGTGTTGATATTGCATCTACACATAAATTCACGCATGCACTCATGCGTACTTACAGGTAGTTAACGATCGATATGTGCCAAGAAAAGTGTTTGGGCGCTTCTTGCTCGTGCAGGTCCGGTGCAAGCTGGACCCACAAAACTAGCTGAGAGACAGAGGGTGTAAAGCTGCTTCGCATGTGCATTGAATCCAGGACAAGCACAACGACTCCTTGTCCCGTGTCAAGGACTGGCAAGATGCACAGATAAAGTACGAGGGACTGATCTTGCGACGGCTTATCATCTGACTTGGCTGTCAAATGTACATAGCTTTTAGGTCTGAGAAAACCATAGACTCCTGTTGGCACAGGCTTCGCATCGTCAACCGGTGTATGGAGAAGCCGATCTGGATCGCACATGAGGCAGGTGCCGCGAGAAGGGTCCACTGCACATCGACATACTGCTCTAGCCTTTCTCCTTGCGACGGTGGGTTTGAGGCTGTCGAAAGTGTTTGTCCCTCTGGCAAAGGCCGCCGGAGGCAAAATTGGCCCCAGCCGGCAGACGCCTGGCTGCCGGGGGGTGGTTTGAGGTTCGGATGTTTATTTCTTCGTGTCTATAGGACGTGTGGCAGTCAGCAGGCTTTTGAGCTTGTGTGAAAAGCAGGTCTGCAAAAGGTCACAGGTGCTGAAACTAGCTGCGCATTCCAAGGAATGTGAAGATCGAGCCAGATGACTTCCATGACTTTTGCACCCCCGACAAGCTGGTAGGCACATCTCGGGTGTATTGTGAAGACAACATTCGAGTGATGTGGAACGCGTTTCAGCGTTTGATGTTCCGACCTGGATTTCCATTTGCGAGGCACTCGTTACTGGCCAAAGATGCTGTGTGACGAAGATGGCGTGAATTGCTTGCCACTTGGATCCAACGTAACATCCTGCAAGCCGAGCATGTCAGAGCTTCTGCTCCTAGCTTTCGGCACGGTGTTACAAATCACAAACATCACCAATAAAGGCACGCTCCTATCCGTTCTCTTCCGCGCATGGATTGCCCCAAGCTCGAAAGACTCCCGGATCTTCCTGGGGACTTGGACCCACTCAAAAACTTGCGGGCCCAGGCTCGGATTACGATATTTGGGATCTCGGATTCCCGGAAAGCCGCATCCAACTCCACAAGACCAGAGACCAGACCTAGCCCAGAGAGCAACCGTTTGGATCCAGAATCCCCAACAACTAATCGGCTGGCTTGAGCCCGAACGCATCGACTTTTCTCAGGCCTTTGTCCCTAGATATCAAAGGCGATACGACAGCCAGACCGCAACCTGGAAGCCTTGGCTGTGCACCAGGTTGGGAAGCAGCGGAGGGCCCGGAGAAGGTTGCAGCGCCCCGGCAGACTCTGACATTATATGTTCTGTTATATATTATATATGCATATATATATATATATATGTATATATATATATATATATATATATATATTATGCTATGTAACGCTCTTGGGGGCTGCAGTGACCTGTCAGACGCGAGGCGGCGCCGGTCAATACCTCTCCTGCGCGCCGCCCATTGACACGAAGTTCGAGGCGACCTTCGGCCGAAGAGGCTGGGCTCGGGGCGTCTCCGGCTGGTCGTCTTGGCTGACTTCACCTTTTGTAGACCTGATAAGCTGCCAGGAGCACCCTGCAACGGCCAGAGCTCGCAGGATTGCGACTTCGTTGACGTCAGTTTGGCAGCTTGGCTCAGCTTGGTCGAGCTGCGTCCAGTTCCCACGATTTCCTGTGCGATTCCGGAATTCGATCTTCCCCTCGCCTGCAAGAAGAGCGCTGGAGCAGATCAGGCTTTTGCTTGCTCTGGGAAATGCAAGCTACCGGCAGCTACCGTCCTGCCAACGAATTCAACCTGCGTGATCTTTCTGAAGCAGGTCATAGCGTATGCCATGCAACGATGTGCCCGCATCCCCAGCGTGTCAAGAGCAACACTTGCGTAAACTAGAACCTATCGTTCTATCAGTTTTCCGTTTGAGCTTGTTTTAGTGAGTCCTTTTTTTTGTGGTTTGCTCACGGCACGGCAAGAATTGCGAAGCTTGAATCGCTTGCCGCGCCGCCTCGACCAGTTAGACTGTCAGGATCCCAGGATCCCTGGGCCTCTGGAAGCATGGACCCATCACCTCTATATATATATATATACACACATATACATACATACATACATACATACATACATACATACATACGTACATACATGTGTATATGTATGTGTGTATATCTATGTATACATATCTATATATATATATATATATTTATATTCATATTTATATTTATATTTATATATAAATACATATTAAAACGTGTAAGCGGCGGTCCAACGCTTTCAGGTAGATGGCTGGACATTGCCCTTTCGGCTCCTCATCGCTGGAAGCTGTTCCGGAGGCAGACAGTCCAAACACTGCAACAGGAAGCTGCGCTGGAGACACACGATACATTCCCAGACGTGCCACCAACACTGAACTAAGTTGTGGTGTCATGATGCAAGAATCCGTCACTTCTTTGGTCGAGCATCTCCTGAAATTCAATCCTGCGAGGCTTGAGCAGGTAAGAGTCATTGGGAGAAGCTGAAGTTTCGCTGGATCCTGTTGTGGCCTCCTCCATAGGTGGCAACCTGCATCCCGACGAGATAGACTGCTCAGGCCGCTTGTCTGGTGAAAGTTGCAGACAGAAAGATAGAAGTATGAAGTATCGTCTCGTGTCGTCGCTCTTTTTCGGGTTATCAGTTATCAGCTTTTGCCCTCTGACATGCATTTGTCATGAGAGCCAGGCAATCAGCTAGATGCAGATTCATTGACGGCAAAGGTAGGGAGGTTGGCTTTAGAGAGAAGGAGGTAGTGTTACCCCCTCCTACAACGGTATGCTGAACACAAGAGCTGTGTGCAAAGCCTACGAGCGAGTGGAGGCTGTCTTGCCAGCCCTTCGGTGCAGGACTGACATTCGAGCAGTGCCCCACAGCAGAGAGGCTGGGAACGAAGACCTATGCCCCTCAGCTCTGCTTTTATCAAGAATAGTCTCCTGGTGCCCCGACGTCGCCTCTGAGAAAACTCGCGTCGTAAGGATATGCAGGCACGGCATTGGGGAAGTGGCAGCATCGCTGGTTGCTACAGCCCCTGCCTCAAGCTGACGGATCCCAAGTGGAACAACACGGCATCCAGAGGCCTGCCGGCTTTAGATGGAGACCGTGTTGTTGGAGATTAGGGTCGCGGAGCGCTCGAACCAATGTCCCAGTGAAAGTCCAGAAGCTCGGGTTTATGATATGTGTTTAGTCTTAACTGGGCATCGACAACCAGATAAATCAATCGTCAGCTTGCAAGTAAGCTCAAAGTAGACATCAGTACCGAATTGTGTGTATCTACACCCATATCTAGATCTGGATGTAGATCTAGATCTAGAATCTGAATCCAGATTTATATACCTACATCTGTTTATACACGTATATGTATGTGTGTGTGTGTATATATATATAGAGGAAGGGGTGTGTACATACATATACAAAGGAACATTATTTGAATAACATGTACACATACATATACATCTGTACATCTGTACATACATACATGCATGCATACAGACACATATGTAAATGCTCACACATATGTATTGTTCCAGAAAGGGATGCACAACCATGTCTTTCTCGTAATCTGCATTTTCTTTCTCGCTCGATCTCCCTCGATCTTGATGTGTGTCTCTGTCTGTCTCCCTCTCTGCCTGTGTGCGTGTGCGTGCAATGTGTGTGCGTATGAGCACATGCATGAGCGTGTGAGCCAGCTCCGTTTGCTTGAGCATATCCACAAACCTATGCACGTGGGTGTGCGCATGGTGAGCATGCTGCAAGCAGTTGTTTTGGTGTGCACATATACTTTTGGTGTGTGTGTGTGTGCATGAGCGCATGAGTGGTGTTTCACGGCAGTGCATGCAGGCATGCGGTAAGGCACAACGCTAATTTCCTGCACTTTCCATGTGTGCATCTTCAGCGTTGGCGGGGGTGTGTCTCTTACGTTCAGGCATTAGGATTGGGAACTCGCTTCCTGCGCGAGGTTTCACCTGCTTTGCAGAACATTCTGGCCGGCAGAAGCTAGCAGCCCTTGACAGGACGCTCAAGGACCGACGATGTGGCGGCACCCTACTGCTGCCCCACGCCGCCCATCTCTCCCCAGGCCCCCGGATTGCGAATAGAGCAGAGTCCGCCTCTTGTGGTGTGGTTTTGGTTGGACCAATGTGAAGTCCGCTGCGGACATCGCCTCACAACATCTAACTTTCTCCGAAGCCGTCGGACTTCGGAGCTCGAAAGCCTCGCAGCCAGCCCGATCTCCAAGGCTTGTCGCGCGGGCCCAGTGGAAGGGAGCTTCGGCCAAATCGGCGGCGGCGACAATTACTATTACTATCTTTTCATGACTGAGAACGTAGACCATCAGTGTCATGATGTAGGTGACGATGACATGATGATTGCTGCTGGAGTAGTGCAAGTACAGTTCTGCAAGCAGAGAGACGTTGTTGATCGCTTTCGTCGAGCATCACAAGTCCGAGCAGCTGATTTCCGCTGCTGCCGCAGTTGCAACATGTTGCAACGTGCGTGCTGAACACGACTGGTTCTGCGTGTCGAACCATGAAGGCGGTGGTGGTAGTGATACTTGTAGGAGTTGCTCCTGGCCTTTAAAGCGTGTTTGGGTCGGGTGGGGTCGAGTCTTAGCGGTTTTGGTTGGTAGTGCTCCTTCCTATAGGCAGCGAAAGGCATGTATCTGATGCTCGACACAACAGCCGGGCACCTTGAGCTCCATCTGCTGAGGACGGAGTATGTCAAAGCGGTTCACAAATACTGCTGCTGGCCTTGTTGGATCATCAGGTTTTCAAGAAGCAGTACGATATTCCGATTTTGTCTTCTGTTTATGCACTCTCGCAGAAGTTCACGTCCAGGTCCTGGCGTCTACGCCTACTGCTATGATGATGCAATGGGTCTGCTACAATGCTCTGCGGATTCCAACTATCAGCTAGAATTCTTCTGCTTCTCGGTTGCAGTTATTGCCATTGCCGTGGCAGCACATCCTCCATGTCTGGTCCCCGCTGGTCGACTCAGGCCCCTGGCCGATGCCGTCCTGGAACTATGTCTGGGTAACCACCACTCGCACAAGTTCCTCGCAGACACAAACATCAGCTACCTCCACCCGCACAACAACCTCATTCACTACTAGGACTGCTTCGTCCACTACTCTCGGCAGCACCCTCACCTCGACCCGTACATCGGTTACAGCGACTACTGCAACTGCAACTCGACAAGAGCCAGAAGCTTTCGTAGGCTGGATGCATAGTCCGCTCAAGTCATAGTCACGAGTCACAAGCCATAGCCAATCCAGCTGCAAGGGTCCCAGCGCAGATCCTTAGGTGACGAAGACCACGAGGACATCCACGAGCGTCACAAGCGAGCAGGCAAGTGACCTAAACCCTAAACCCTAAACCCTAAACCATGCATGGCTTGGTAGCTTCGTCTCAGCATCCTTGTGAGCTGAGCTGTCCGATACTTCCAGGGTCCCATTGCCCCGACGAGGCTGCAGCAATGGGCGCCAAGGCGGCCAAGAGGAGAGCGAGGGCAAAGCAAAACAGACATTTTTGGCTGGGAGCATCCTTTGAGTCAGAGTCTGCCGTTTCAGGGTTGGTGGATTTTCGCGTGTCTTGCCTCTGTTTTTTCCCTTTTTGAGGTGTAGTGGAGGGATTGTTATTGCTGAATCGTCAGGACGAGGTGAGTTGTTTTGTTTGATCTTGTTGGGCTCCTTAAGACCAGAGACTTGGTATTTCAGGGCAGATTCCATCAGCCGTCTGAGTCTGTACAGGGGCCTCGGACCCTGTGACGACACGACCCAAAATTCACAATACATAGATTTACCACTCTCCCGACTTCTTTCAGGAGCCATGAGAAACTTTCTGGAAGCGCTTCGGCCACCACATCTTCAAGTCCCAGGCCAAGTGCCCTGGCAAAGCAAGGTGATCTGACAAGGCCCCAGGCTCGCCCCTTGGACTACCCGTAGCTGAGAGCTATAGCATTCCCTCCTCGACTCTACACTCGTTTAGGAGCCACAGAGCCCCAAGTCCTGAAAAAAAAACCATTCGAACCGAAGGCACAGGCAAACGGACGGGCATGCTTCGGCAGATTCCGAATTTGAGGGCTTTCTCGTCTCGGGCGTTGGGTTCAGGCATCTTTGCTTCTGACTGATTATCCCTCCCTGCTTCTGACGTCGTCTGCCATGCCGAAAGCCCCGACTACATCCCAACACGACTCTCTGCGCCAAAGATGAGGAGGGGAGGGTTAAATCGGAAGGCGCCGCCGCCGTCCGCCGTAGCATTTGGATTTTGCCGTCGCCGGTGCTGTCGCGTCGCCGTGCTGTCGGGGGGTGCAGAGGGCCTGCCGTCGGTCGTGTGGTGGCCTATATGTAGGCTTGGGGTGTCTTTACCGTCGTGGTGGCTTTGGTATTCATGGCTGAGTTGCCAAGTTGCTGCCCAGGTGCCGATAGGCTGGATGTGCGCTCCAAACGTACGAAGTCCGAGGGCTCAGAGGCGCTGGCTTGAGTTTGGTTTGCGAAATTTGGGACGCAGGAGGGGGTTTGCGCAGTGCCGTGCAATCACTCTTTTTTGTGCCTGATGCCTGTTTTCAGGTCTTCACCAAATGATATGGATGTATGCATAAAGGTCGCCAGACTCTCTTTTCAAGCCCATCGTGCAAGAAGTCTGTCTTTAAGCATTTGTAAGATCTCACGAAGCTTGATGCAGGGGCCGAACCCTCGTAGTGAGAGTTGGTGACGGGAAGATGGCTGTTTTGAAGTAAAGCAACAGAAGCAACAGCGACTTTCGGGAGCTTTCAAGCACCGATTCAGGCCTTTTATGTCATTGCTGGATGCTCGTTGGGAGCCGTCGCCGGACAGCAACCAACGTCTTCAATCAGCTGGGTTGTCTGCTCTCCGGTAGCTGGACCGCGTGTTCTCGAGCTCTCTGTGGCAAACTCCTGTCGTCTAGTTTGGGCATCATGACGTTCCGTCATGTTTGTTGTTGGAGGGAAACTGTGTGCTTCCATTCTCACCTTTGAGCAGTGACGCAGAGCCCTGCCCAGGTTGCTGTGGCAGCTCTGGGCCTCTGTGTGTGGCATGGTGCCTGCCCTGTGAGGCAGCTTGCGAAAGAACCAGAGCATATCCTGGTTTCTCTCTCTCTCTCTCTCTCTCTCTCTCTGTCTCGTTCTCTGTGTCTCCGTGGCTCCGTCCCTCCGTCCCTCCCTCCCTGTCTCCCTCCCTCCCTCCCTCCCTCC